GCCTCCCACGGCCGGCGGCGAGGCTCCCGGTCGAGATCAAACCTCCGGCGCTCGCTGGCACGCTGGCTAGCAGACACGCGGCAGACACCTCACTTTCCTCCTTCCCCATAAAATGCAGGAATTCCGGGGTTTGACAAGGAAATGTGACAACATGAAATGCCGGCTCCAAGCGCCCCTGGCTTGAGGTAATGAACGCTTGGCCGTAGCGAGTCAGAAAGCCCATTCCTAACTGTTTACGGCAACAGATCCGTACCTCGTGAATTAAGGTCCCGGGAGAGCTGCGCTTTACCCTGGCCTGAGCCGCCGTTCAGCAAGTCGGGATTTTAAGGATCAGAATAATTTATCGCGTTGTTTTTAATGTTTATTATTTATTGCTCTAATTATTTTTCACTTTCTATTGGAAATTTAAAATATATAGATGTACCTGGAACAGATGCCAACTCCTTTCAGTCTCACTCAACTTCTAATCATCGCATCTGCTTTGTGTCAGAAAATACTTTGGGAACAATTTAACTTTGCATTAAAATAACTAATTAAAGCCACACCTCCACAGCCTCTTGCGAAAGTGGAGGAGGAATTTCAGTAAGTGCATCGCGTTTAATGGTAGCATTCTGATTTCCCTGCCTAGCTGTAATTTATTCAGTTACAGATCTGCCTGCAGGGCAGCTCCCATTAGGCTGATGATGAAGTCTCATGAGTAAAGCTTGACACCTCCCTCCTAATAAAATATAATACTCAATTAACTCGGACTTTCTGAAGGCTTTAATTGGAACAAGTTAATAATGGGCGCAGGGTGAATCGTCATGCCATCCGCAAGCACGGGAAAGGTGTCACGGATCCGTCCTGCCTTTCCCATAGCAAAGGTTGTAACCGAGATTTGGAAGCTTTTCCTTCAACACCCCTGTGTTCTGCAATAAATCTGTATCCATTTAAGGATCTATCATAACACACACAAAGCTCCAGCGCTCAAAGAATTTCCAGCGAAAAGATTTAGCTGTAATCCCTGACACAACTGATTTATACTGAAGGTTAAAAAATACCCCTGGTTTATTTATAACCGGCCCAGCCCAGCTAAGAAAGCACTCGGGACAATTGGGCAGAGAAGGAGAGGGGCGGGGGGGGGGGGGGGGCTCCCTCCCCCCGGGGTTTTTGGGAATAATACTTCAGAAAGAGATCGAGAAAGAAGCGGTTGTCTCCAGTTTTTATGCGGCAGTAAAGGCTAATTTGAAAAGTCTGCATGGCGATTAGCTTCTCCCAGCTTTGTTCCTTAAAGTTACGGAGAGGGAAAGTTAACAGGAAGGCTTCGGAGCGGGGGGAGCAGGGCAGGATCCGGGATGCCCTGAGCTATCCCCGGCCGCGTAAAGCCAGGCCGGAGGTGGACGCGACACCCAGCCCCCTCCTCGCAGCCAGAGTCGGGAGGTGTTTTCACTCCACCCTTCACCTTTTCGCATACCCGAGGTCCGATCCGGAAAGATGCTGAGGGCGGAGGCAGGGCGCCAGGCGCCGGGCGGGGGAGGTCGGGTCCGCGGCGGCCTCGCCGCTGCCCGCGGGCAAACGCTCCCGCAGCGCAGCCGAGCGCCGGGCTCCGGGGCAGCCGTCCGCCCTCAGAGGTGTACGAGCCGTGGGCGGGGGCTGGAGCAAGGGGAAACTCTCCTCTCTCGACGACCGAGAGAGTCTAGGAGAGTAAATCCTCCCTGCTTTAAGCTCTCCCCGGCTCTCTCCGACTACCATCCCAGAGGTCGCTCCTAATCCGAGTAAACCTCCTACAGCAAAAAATTACGGTGCTGCACTGAGCTGGCCCGGCAAAGGCCTTTGGTGTGCAATGGTCGAATAACTCCTCACCTACCGGTACCCCTCTTCTCTGAGCAAGCCCAAGTCCCCGCATCAGTTTCAGGAAGGACAAAGGGCTAGTTCAACACCTGCTCTCCAGGCAGCACAGGAGTGCTTGAGGGGGGCAGCCCCGACCGACCGTGGCACAGGCCAACCACACATAGAGCCCTGAAATGCAGCTGTACTGGAGTATTGCAAGGTCCTTGCCATGTCTTACCTGCACAAAGCAACCCCCACCACGTGTTGCTGGGGCCGAGTCTAGTCTCCCACTAAAACATAGATTTGAAGATAGAGGAGAGGAGAGGAGAAGGGAGAGACCAGAGCAAAAAGAGAATGGCACCTGAGCTAAGCAAAACGATGGAAACATCATCAGAATATCATGCTGTAAAGAACAGAGGAACCTAAAAAGGGTTGTTAAAAACGAGGGAAACCTCATAAAAGGTTTGGCTTTCGACTTTGAATTGTTGACTTGCAATTCACCTTCATGTGCTGCAAATTTGGCTTTAATTCAGATTCAGAAGGGGAAATAATCATAAAGGCAACCCCAACATTCCTTTGAACTTGACCCAGCAGTGCAAAACACACAGGGAGAGAAGTTACTTTTTAAAGAACTCCAAACATTCACAGACCCACACGTGATGAAACATGTTTTTTCTTTTTAATTTAATTCGAAATAAGAGATAAGAAATAATAAATCTTCAATAAAATATATAAAATTGTACAAGGCATCCCTTTCAAAGGGACTTCCCTATAATGGAAAATGGGGAGGGGGGAAGGGAGAGGGGAAGTTCATCCAGGGCAGCGACAGCACCTGGGTCAAAACAAACCAAAACCAGCAAAAACCTCGTGGCTTTTTTTGTTGTTCTGTTTTTTGGATTTTTTTTTTTTTTGATTTCTTCCACAACATGCTAAGAAAATAAATCCAGGAGAAGCTCTGCCTCCAGTGCTCCGTGGCTTTTGGAGTAACTTTCTCACAAGGTTTAGCAAGAATAATACACATAATACAATAGTTATAAAGAGAAGCCTGGGGAAGATACTGCCAGCGCTTGGGGAGCTTCCACGGGGACAGACAGGTTACATAGTCTCTTGGCACCCCAACATCCTACTAGTAGGGTTGTTTGTTTTTGATATCTGGATCTCTCTTAAGAAGGGGTTGGAGAATGAGTCACTTAACAATGGAATCCTTTGCAAAGGGAGGAGAGGAAGACTGGAGGGGGGGGGTTCTTCTTCTATTTAAGTACAGACTGTTGCAAACAATAATAAAAAAACCCAAACATATCCACAGAAAGGTCTGACAATCCTTTGCTCACTACCACTGTGGAAACAACCCACCTCTTCCTCCCCCGGTAAGCTGCTTTCCCTCTGTCCTGGTTTTCAAAGAGCATTGCAGAGCCAAGATTGCCTGGCTGTAGAGAAAAATTTCTGAGCATGCCAATAGGAAGAGATAAAGACCAGACTGCCTAATAACCCTCCCTTGCACTTTACCTCCCCTCACAGTGCTTTACAAATGCTGAGGCGATTTATACAGATAAAGGCAATACAGGAGCCAATGGTGGATAAAGCTGTTGCTCTGCTTTATGCACATAGGGACCCTGACAGTCATCTTAACTGCAGACAGCTACTGAGATTTGGGATGCAAAAACTTCCTCTACCCCCAGAAATGCAGGAACTTGCTGGCTCTGAACTTCACTCCGACTCTACTGGGTCTAGTTGCTATTTACACAGTGTCTCTAGCTAAGGTCTCTGCTTTCTTAAAAAAAAAAGTGATTATATACTTTTTTATTTCTTTTTATTCCCCCCCCCTAATATTAACTGATGAGATTTGAGAGTGTGGGTTTAGGGCATGCACCCCTCTTCCTTTAAACATGTGTTGGGACCCATTAGGAAGGGATCTGCCTCCATAAGACAAGAGTGTTTTCTCACCCATTCCTTTTTATTCTAGCTTTATGTGCACTGTATAAAACCCCTACATTTGCTCAAATATTTTTGTTTTTTGTTTTTACATTTTTTTTTCTTTGAGGATCAGACACTGACTGCTCAGAGCACTCTCAGAAGACACCCAACCTGTAGCATACAGGATGCCTTGCTTTGCTAACGCAAACTCCTGTACGCTTGGGATGGCAGATAAAAGCGTGCAGAAAGAATTGCCAGTACTGGTTGGGGTACTGCCTTCTCAAGGTTGGACAAGATCCACCAGGAAGTCCTTCTCACTGTCGCTTTGTCTTTCTGATCTTCTTAGGATAAGTGGTACATGCTATATCCAACAGGAGTAGCATAGAGTCCAACAGGCGGAATAGGAAGCACAGGTCTGTGAAAAGGATAGGATGTTCCATACAGTGAGGCGGCCTGGATGGGAGAGTTGATGGGGAAAGGGAGGCTGAACCCTGAAGGCAACATGGGCTTCGCTGCCATTTTGAGCTTCTCCAGCTCGGCCTCCTGCAGTCTCTTGGCCTTGGCCCTCCTATTCTGGAACCAGATTTTGACCTGGGTCTCTGTGAGGTTGAGGGAGCTGGAGAACTCGGCTCTCTCCGCGATGGACAGATACTGCTTCTGGCGGAACTTGCGCTCCAGAGCCAGCAGCTGGGAGGTGGTGAATGGGGTTCGGGGCTTCCTATTCGTCTTGTGCTTCCTCAAGGTGCAGGCGGTGGGGCTCAGGTGTCCTGCAAGGAAAGGAAAGGCCGGTTATCCCAAAAGGAGGCAGATCTGGGTGTTTAGGACAGACGCGCAGCGCTTGAGAGGGATATGTGGGTGTATGCGGTGGGGGGGGGTCCCACCAAGTGATACCATCAAAACAGGGGCTGTGACAAAGCTGTTTCTGAAAATGGTGCCTGAAATCTCTTCCTGGCCAAACTTACGCTCACAGGACTTCAGCAGACGTCCTGAGAAATAGTTCAGTGGTTTGAAAGGGACAAGATTTCACAGGCTCTGTGAAATTTGTAGGCAAACAGGGCACAAAGGTACCCAGCAGATCACTTTAAGCTTCACATCATAGGGGTCTAGAGCACACAAAACAGCCTTAGTAGCTGCAAAATTTGGGGAATAACCCCAGCAAAACATAGGACAAGTGCATACACTAAAAAAGGATGTTCACAAAAAGGACCATGGCACAAGAGACAAGCCCATCCCACCCCTGCTTCAGGATTTCTTCCCCAAGAACAGCAGTTCAGACCCAGCCCTGTGTGAGTTTTTCCTGTGAGTTGAAGAACTGGGTCAGATAGTTTTTGTGTCTTTGATAACTGAGCATTTTACTTGCTATTTCTTCTCCTCTTGACATCAAGAGCAGCTTTTCCCTTAATAACTGCTTTTCCAAGAAGGAGTTTCTGTTTTACAGCAAGTCCCGAAAGAGAGGAAAGCAGCACACTCTTCTCCCAACATTTAGCTTTTATTATATTTGCCAGCTTTTAAAATCCCACGTAGCTGCAGAATCTGTAGCCGCTACAAATCAGGAAATCTGCTATTTTTGGATTTTCCTTATAATCCCAAACAGGTTAGGCACATTTTCCCGAGATGGCACATCGATGGCTTGTCTTTAGATCCATTTTACATTTCACCGATAATTCTCTCTATTTTAAAGAATTGTTAATATGCGGGCAGCTGACTTGAAAAGCTGAACCATTTGGCTGTTTTTCAGATCAATGGCGACGCATACAACAAGCCACCTTGACTCCTCAGCTTGATACTGAAGATGACCTACAGGCTACTCGAAGCCGTTAAACTCTGTACCTACTGTAGTGTCTGGTTTAAACCCTTGGTAGTATTTGCACATTGCACTTTTGTACCCTTTTCACTTTCCTCTTTGATTTTAAAAATAAACTAGACAAAGCAGTGGTTTAACTGAATATTATGCAATTTAAAAAAAAACACAAAGAAAGTTTTCAAAAAATGAGAATGATCTAAAAGTGGGGGGGGAGCAGCGACAGTAGAAAAGTGATTTTTTTCTTCTTACTTTTGTTCTAGATACTGAACGCGAAAAATAACTCCTTCTCAGAAAACCACACGTCAAATGCCGTCTTAGGATCACATGGGGCATTTTAATAATTAAGCTGCTAACCGTGATATTTCGTTCAGTCCTAAAACCCCACGCAAAATACAATCAACGCACTAAATACCCCGCTCTTCTGCGCTCTCTCTTCTTTGAGACGAAACCCGACATTTCTCTTAAAGCGAAGCTTCCCAAAGGCTCGGCTAGAACGGGCGCTCCCTCCGCGGGGTGAGGCGCGCAAGGGTGACGGCGCCGCGGATCGCCCCGACCAGGCTCCCGCGCATTCCCGGCGTTTTTTTTTCCAAAATACTCCCAAACGTTAACGGCCTCTCCCCCGACCCTCTCAAATCCCCCAAATGACTGCCAAACTCTGATAAGAAACAGGGACCGTCGCCACATCAGGCCTTTGTAATTATGTTTACCCCGTGCCAGTCCTAAAGCACTTGCTGGAGTGATTTGTTGCACTATTTTTTTTCCTTTTGTTTTCCTTTATTTTTTTTTTTCCTTTTTGTTTCCTTTTTTTTTTTCTTCCCCTTCCCCCCCCCCCCCACTAGACTTTCTCACTAACTTCGGGCACAACTCATCACATGGAGACGATTCCCTCTTCGTGTTGCTCAAAAATCTAATATCTAGTGCTCTTCCCCTAGTTCACCCCACCTGTAACAATAGTAATAGTACTAAATTGAGGAGCTATTCCTAATGTCAAAGACCTCCTCGGGAAGATGGAACTTCCTACAGGAAAATCGGTTATTGCATCCTTCTGTCAGGACGGCTCCGAGGGGGTCGAGAGTTGGAGGGAGGTGGGAAATTCGGGAAGACGACGGAGGCCAAGGGATCTTCCCGAACTAGGCTCCCCCCCCGCCCCAATCCTCATCATTGCTCCCCCCGGAGCCCCGCTGAAATCACTGGCTTCTTGAACTCCCTGACCACTGAAGTCCTTTCAAAAGCTATTTTCCTGCTTTCTATGACTGGTGATTTTAATAGAGAAAGTGGAGGAGTTTCGAAGATGAATGTGCCGGGGAGAAAATCAGGCCTCGTCTAAGTCTTTTTTTTTTAGGGCAGTGTTAGAAGCGGAGCAGGCCTGAGTCGGAGCCTATGCGTATTTGACGATACATGAAAAAAGCAAAACGGAGCTGTAGAGACAATGAGAGAGGCGCCTTGCTCTTTCTCCCGTCCCGTCATGGGCTCTCGCCCAGCACGTTAGAAATCAAATTAATTCGGGGTAATCGCAACGGAAGAGAAGCGGCTGAAAGCCAAATTAAAAAAAATTGTCCCAGAAAGAGAGGAATTGCAAAGCACTAAACATCCTTCTCGTGTTGTTAGATTCAAAAGCAAATTCTGCTAGACCGTTCAGCTAAATAGCTCGCATATGTAAAGTCAGTAGTTAACTGAAGCAGAGCATTTAACTTTCATCAGGCAAGCCAGAGATACGTGGAAGAGAATGGATCGATCTGCTAGTACAGGTGTATGGGGAAAGAAGAGCGTTTTTTTTTTTTTCAGTTTTGGTTTTTCACTTTCTCCTGAAAGTACTTTTGGAGTGATCTTTAAAAAAAAATGAAAAAAAAAAAGAGATCTCTCTCACTGCGAAATGCAATTCAAATCTCCAGCACAGACAAACAGTGCCGGTCAAACAGCAGGAGGTTTTAAAAAGGGACCTGTCAGGTCCGTGATCGCCTGTCCCTAAAGATGGGGACGCGGTGAGGAGGGATGGCAGGAGGGATAAAAAGTTCCAGGCCCAGCTCGGATAACTTTGACAGTCTACGTGCAGAGAGCGAGAAAGAAATAACCACCGTGCCAGGAGAAACCGCGGTGGCAGTCAGCGCGCAAAAAGCGCACAAAGCTGGAAGGGAAAATTCCCAGGTTTCACAAGCGAAGAGTTTATGCGAAAATGTTGTTTTGCACATTTTGCGTAAGGGAAAAGACACCCGGGGGAACCTACTGTTGCTTTTGCAACGGGCTAACCTAATGGCACCAACTGGTAACAGCGCGCCGTGTATCGGGAAACGGAGCTAATCGGTATTGGTTCCTGAGCGTTGTGGCGTTTTAAAAGCATATATATTACATATATAGAGATACACACAACATATTAAAATAACTCCTTCTCAGAGTACATGTAACACGCGTAGACATGTAGAAATCACGAGGATATAAGTGTGTACACATATATCAATACGTATGCCATATATCTAGTGTGCTCCTGTAAACCTCGGCGCCCGGGAGCAGCC